GTTGGTGCGTGTGGCTTTCGGGTCGCCGAGGTGACACTGGCGGAGCTGCGGGAGGTGGTGTTCTCCATGAAGCGTTCCGGTGCGTGTGGACCTGACGGCGTCTGTATTCGCATCCTGCTCCTTTCTTTCGAAGCCATTGGTCCCATCCTGCTCCATGTTGTCAATACCTGTCTTTCCACGTGTGACTATCCCGATGCTTGGAAGCACTCCCTAGTCCATCCTATCTTTAAGTCCGGTGATCCTGATCTGGTCTCCAACTACCGTCCTATTTCGATCGTCCCCACCATAGCCAAAGTTGTCGAGCGCTTAGTGCACCGACAACTTTCCGCCTACATGTCTAACAACCACCTTCTCTCTTCATCCCAGCACGGTTTTCGTCCTCTTCACTCTACCGAAACCGCTCTGCTCTCTGTAACTAATCGCGCTTTTTCCAACATGGACCGTGGCCTTATCTCCCTCCTCTGCCTTCTGGATCTTAGTAAATGTTTTGATGTCATTCCTCACTCACTGCTAGCTTCCAAGCTCCAGCTCTATGGCATCCACCCGACCTGGTTTTCCTCCTACCTCACCGGTCACACTCAGTCTGTCTGTATCTCTTCTCTTTCCGGTGACAGAGTGGTTTCGAAGCCCCTTCCTAACACCATGGGAGTCTTCCAAGGATCAGCCCTCGGTCCTCTGTTATTCACCATTTTTGCCAACGACCTCAGTCTGCACGCGCCGGACGCTCATGTGACCCAGTACGCTGACGATACCCAAATCCTTATTTCCGATACCAAGCGCAATCTTCCTTACCTCATCCAACGCATGGAGTCTACCCTCACCTCCTTGGCATCGTGGTTCCATGCCCACGGACTTAAACTCAACACGTCCAAAACGGAAATCCTCCTCCTTGGCACCCGACAGAATACCAGAGATCTCCCCCCTGTCAGCGTGCGGGTCGGTGGCGGGACCGTTCGGGAGAGCCAATATGTTAAAAACCTTGGTGTCATTTTCGACCGCCACCTTACGTGGGATGCTCATGTCAGTGACGTGGTACGTAAGTGTGTCGGCCTCCTGATCGGTCTCCGCCACCTGAGGCGCCTCCTCCCGCGGCGGGCGCTTCTTGCGGTCGTGCAGGGCCTGGTCGTCTCGCGCGTGAGATATTGTCTATCTGTGTACGGGAACGGCTCCGCGGCTAACAACGAGAGGCTACTGAAAGTTGTGAACTTTGCCACCAGAGTAGCAGCCGGTCTCCGAAAGTACGATCGTGTGTCTCGCGCGCGGGGCGACCTGGGCCTGCACACACCGCGCCAGATGTGTGATGCGCAGACCGCTATCATTGCGCATAGAATCCGTGCCCTGGGCGAGCCCGAGGAGCTCGCCTCACTGTTTGTGACTTTCGCCGACGCACGGCAGTGTAACCGCCCCACTAGACAAGACCGTGACTTGCGCCCGCCAGCTACAAGAACAGTGGTCGGGCGGCGAGGGTTTGCATACCGAGCAGCCTCGCTTTTAAACTCTATGCCTAGTGAAGTGACACGGCTCGAGCCAGCAGCTTTTAAACCGGCAGCGAAACGTTTCTTTTATTTGGAGTGATTGTGCGTGTGTTAGTGTTGTGTGTGCTGTTGTTTCAGCGGATGATTGTTGTGTGCCGTGTCCCATTTGACTTCCCCAACCGTTTTATTCACTGACAATTGACACGTAATAGCCACCGTGTTGTGGAGTGTCTGATGACGTAAAATAATAAAATAAAAAATGAAGAAATTACTACGCACAACGCACAGTATAAGTTGCTAGAAAACCTACTTTGCTATCGTTGATAATTTTTAACCCTAAGTCAAAGGGTGTTCATTAAACCAATGCATTACCTGAAATATGTGCTGAAATAGCAGCCAACCAACTGGCATCGTTTTAATTTTATTATAAAGTGTACCCATTTAAAGGGACCATCCCACCTTAACATTAGTTTTGAGTTGAGATAGCCAAGTTTGCGGCCAGGCTCAGAAACCACCATTTATCCTGGTCGCAACCCCCGCAGCTTTATGGTGTTCAAGAAATTTCTTCCCTTTACTTGCAGGGTGGGACCAGCGTAGTCCCTATCTCTTAACCATTAGCGGTTTTTTGATGACGTCAGCAGTCATTTCAACGCCCGCCATTCCTTGAACCCGAGTTTTGCTGACCTTGAGCTCCCTTTTTTATCAACGTGAAATCCGTCGTCGGCGCTGAGAAAGCCTATTGCTTTTCATTTTAATTTGAATATTAGAAGATACCCACCACTGGAACTTGGACTGATATTATACCAAGGCCGAAGATGATCAAGCTGCCTGCTATATCTGGAGCTTGGTGTTCAACTTAAACATGGAATAAAAAACAAAATATCAAAGCAAACTGGGTATGGTACTGGAAGTTAAAGTCCAAAGAAATTTGAAGAGCTGACAATTGACATTAATTCTTTTCCTGCAAGGTTTCCATATGGAGGTCACAGTCACACCATGAAGAAATATTTTTGATGTTAACAGTTGAAAGGGGATTTATCTTCCAGTTTTGACGAAAGACGCTGCTGACTGTCTTTGGAAAAGGATGTCGGCATGAGGTGCAATTGTGCTTGTGAAGTGGTTATAACTGGTCTTTTCAAGTATTAAATTAAATGTGCCATTGCCGCCAAGTGTGTTATCATGTAAGGTAAAATCAAAACTACAATGTTGGTTTTACGAGCATTGAGAAGGCTAGTAGGTAACACCTGCCTGTGCTCGTAAATCATGCTGCCAGAGTATTCTAAATTAATTTTATCATACACTTTTGTTGTCCAGAATGGTTGCACTATTGTTTGGTATCATATTATTCCATGTAAATATGGTAGTGTAAAGTCCGACCAACATGTTACCAGATTTGAAGCTGTTACGTTACCTAAGTACCTGTTTTTTACTGGCGTGGTGAATGTCACCTGGATTTTGTTTTGAGGTGCAGACCTAGTAACTCTGACTACATGGGTTTGAAGCTATTATCTATTCTGTTTTTACTGGCCTGGTGAATGGCGACTGATGTTGTCCCGCTTGTCCGTGGATGGCACTGAAACAAATTTTGAGTGTTTTGTACAGTGTTTTAATACAATGCTGAGGGCTGAAAGTTGTCTTGTTTAGAGTGGTGAAAGTTCAGGATATGCCAGCCACCATGGTGGGTCAGAGTTAAATGTGTTGCAGTCAGTTCGGCTTCGGCAAGCACACGGATGGGCATACGCATCAAGACCTGCTCTGCCATTCTTTCAGCCAATTTTACCTAGGTAAGTCTTTTCTTTTTTCTGCCAAAAGCTATGACATTGTGAATTTCAGCACTGTGGCCTGTGTGTAGCTTTCAGGAAAGCAATTCTAAATAAAGCTCTGATAAAGTGCAAAATCAGCAATGCAGCCCTCTATTACATTTTCTACAACATCTTACTTGTTCCTTGCATGGAGAGAAAAATGCAATGTTATGAATTCGTTTATTCACATAATTTGACAAGCATGCAGTTACCTGCTACTATCACTGCACAAAACAGAGCAGAAAACATCAGTTGATCAAACACAAGACATAACAGAAGTTTACAACATAGGGCTGCCGAACCTGCTTCCTCCCACCACAGTTGATGCCATTTGCTAGCCTGGCTTGATGTGAGCACTGAATAGCTGCTTTGTCTAATTACAGCTCACTACCATTCAACTTAAACTACTCTCTTTAAAGTAAGAGTGAGAGCATTCAGTGTTCATAGCAGCTCGACAGACGACAGACAACAAACATCTTGACAAACCATGCAGTATTTGATTTGGCTAATGATTTATGTGCTTGTTGTATCATGGCCAAACTATTAACAGCAATAATCCCTGTTTCATCTTGATCTTGCTTTTATTTCCATTTGAACTCAGATCTTGAAACAATCATCTGAAGTGATATCAGATACTGGCTTCTGTTTCTCTTGAAAGCAAGTTCAAACAACAATGATAAACTAAGGCAGGAGATGTGAGTTGTGGCAGTAGATTTTTGATTCAACATATGTCAACCTTATATTGCTTGAGACCTCTGTGACAGACAAACAAATATTTATAGTTTTTTGATAGTTTGGATTCTTGGCTTGATTTAGCAGATCAGCTGTGAACCTTGACTTTGAAATCACATAAATGTCATGGTACCCGAACGAATCCTCGCATGACATTTCTTCGTAACACAATTTTTCGTCCGCATTTCTTCGTCTACAAATCTTCGTCGGTGCATTTATTTGTCCCTCAATGCTTACTCTTGCATATATTTGCGTTGAAGAAGAAATGCGAGCCGATTTTCATATACCCTGGTGCGAGACAAAGTAATGCGATAGGTACGAATAAATAAATGCCCTGACGAAGATTTGCAGACGAAGAATTGCGATACGAAGAAATGCCATAAGAAGAATTGTCCTGGAATCCTTTATTGGCCATCATATATTGACCTTGATAAGATAAACGCATCATTCGCGCAATATTTGTCGCACTTTGATACCAAATTATTGCTTCCAAATGCCGACGTAAAGAAAACCTTTATGTTACGTCATAGAAACAGCGGATTTCCCAAAAAGTAAACAAAAATAAAAGTCTTATATCTCGAAAACGGGTGAATATTTTCCGGTAAAATTTGGTAGATGTTCATTTTCGCTCTTTGTGATTCACGCTACATCACTTTTGTGCCAATTCATTAACTTTTTGAAGGTGGGAGGGTCCCTTTAAGCGAGATATGTGTCATATTTCATGAGGCTGGTAACGTTTTCTTTGACTTCAGCAAAAATTTGGCTCTTGCTGACAGTCAGGATCATCTGAACTACCGGAGAGTGTAGCAATTGGTTCAACAGCTTGTTGGAGAAACTGCAGATAATAGAGGTCTAAGAATCGATCCTCAGAAGACTCCTGTGGTACACGGAATAGTTGTACTTTGACCCATAAATTACTCCTTTCTATGGTCAGAGAGTGAGGGAGAACTCAACGGTGTGGTACACGATTCCAAAAAAGAGACAAAGGCTGTTATTATCAGTGTCTGCATTTATTGTGACATCAATAAGTGCGACGTGATAGGTATGATTGATGATATGATCCACAAGTCGAATCGTACGGGACAGAATGGTCAATTGCGGCGAAAAGAGTATCAATGGCGACACTTCACATAAATCTCTGATGACAATGGATAATGCTGTGCAGAAACAAGAGCATTGTTATGCCTGCTCCACATCCTAAGGTAACTTAGCATTGAGCAAAGAGCAAACACAACACATGATATTTTGGTGCGCGTCTAATACTGCTATGGCTGCATGTCTAATAGACATGCTTCTGTCCATAGCCGTAACTGCTACCATAGTGCACGTGCTGTGGCACCGAGGGCACCTCCACCACGACTGGCTTGGCCACGTGCACCCTGGAGGCTCCTCCGTAGTACACCTGCGGCTGAGCCTGGTTCACATAGACCACCCGACCGGCGCCCCCGACAGTGGAGACGAGCCTTCCTCCGTACACTCCTCCGAGTCCGGAGACTCCAGAGACTCCAGCGACTCCGGCCACTCCTCCGAGTCCTGCTAGACCCCCGAGTCCCTTGAGTCCGGCGGTTCCCGCCAGTCCGGCGGTTCCGGCCAGTCCACCGAGTCCCTTGAGTCCAGCGGCTCCTGCCAGGCCGCCCAGTCCGACTACGGCTCCCTTCTTGACGATGGCAGCCTTGGCGAAGCCGGCCTTGGCGCCCACTCCCTTGGCGATTACCAGCGGGGCGCCCGCGATCAGAGCCTTCTTCTTGAGGAGGAGCAGCAGACGGCCCTGCCGGCTGCCGGAGTCGGCGGCGGAGTCGGCGGCGGAGTCGGTGACCTTGGCGGAGGTCGCCGGGTCAGCGGACTCGGCAGCGATCGCCACCTGCGAAGGAAAGACTCATCAGTGAACTTCAAAGAAAGTCAATAAGAAACGTCCATCGGATGGAATAGTTTAACAGAAAAACAGTAAAAATTAGAAACAAGGTCGGAAAAGTTTCGATCAGTGTTTATTGCGGCTGATTTGTTTCCTAATCCATGGAGTCTGGCCTCCAAGTAAGAACTTTATTATAGGCTCCTCCATTGAAACATTTAGAGACGGACAAAAAACTCTCTGGAGTTCAAAGCTTCCCAAACAAATGCCACTTTACGTCATCAAAATAGCGTCACTTCCTCCAACTCGCCTACTTACCACCACTGTAGCCAAGATAACTCCGACAGCGATCTTCATCTTGCTTCAGTGTGTGTCAGTTGACGTTCCAAGGCAATGTGTGTCTTTTCTCACACCACCTCCAGCTTATATACTTCTCTAAGAACAGCATCATGTTCAGTGACCATGTTCTGATCTACAGAAGCTGAGCGGGCATACCCACCGTTAGTTTACGTTATAACGCTGGTCTATTTCTCAATAGTAAACCCAGATGCATGCTCAGATTTCATGAATCGCAGTGTTTTAGGTGTTGGAACAAGGCTGGTGAGGATACTGGGTGACGAAGAGCGTGTCTGGAGGATTAACCCCGGGACAGTGTTAAAGAGGATCATCTGGAGGATAGCCAGTGACCTCTACAACATACAGTCTGCGGAGTTGGTGTTCGAGCAGAGGTGCACAAACCTTCCTACTTGCCTACAATGTAGGAGACAGGAAATAGCCGAAGAGGGCAGCCGCGAGACAGATTTCAGTTTGTGTTTTCTGTACAAAAATGACTATAAAAACAGCTAACTGGTAGCAATTGGTCGGTACAATCAGCTGTCAACGGGATTTGGTCATTACATTTCTTAACGTGTCTTCAAAAACAGTTCCTACAAATCTCCTCCATGAGACACCCACGAGACAGTTCCCATTGGATTAACATTGTGTCTCATGAGACACCGTGTAGGTAAAATGTAGGAAGAAAAACTGCGAAAGTGGTGGGCATGTTTCGAAAAACGGCGCACAAATTCTTTGGGCGCCTATCAGTTAAAACAAAACTCCTGTTCGAAAATGGGTTCTGTTAAGTTTCGTCAGCTGGTTTCCATAGCAACCGCCATTCGTGGGACAAGCTGACGCCATTTGCTAGCGCGTTGCGTGGTAACCAGCTATCGGTGTCAGTTGAATTTGAAAGATAATTGTAACAGTGAACAGCTCGCTTCAGTTGCTTGTACTGTGCTGTGGATGTGTGTCTTGTGCAGTGTAAGGAGTGTAAGCAAAGTGAAAGGACTTCACATTATATTTTGTGATGGTGTGGTAATATAAGGTTCAGTGAGCTCCAAGTGGAGTTAAGGAATTGCTAAAGAAATGAAAACTCTGCATGGGCCGGAAATCTGCAGCCTGCACTTCTAAACTCTTCATAAGAGGTTCGTGGCAGGGGGCATTTTGGGGAGCGATTATGTGGAGGTGCTTGTAAGTAGGTAGGTACCCAACCTAATTGGCTTGGTGAGAACTGAAACTGGGTATCCATGCTAAGAACTGAAAACTGGGTACCCATGCTAAAAATCGTGTGTCCTTATGTCACATATTCCTGTAGATATTAGATAAGCCAATTGATTCATTTATCTGCAGTTATATTGGAAAAAATAGTGTGGCAAGCAATTGAAGTGGCTTTCAGAAACAACTACAAAGGTGTGAAGGATGATTAACTGAATTGTGAAATTTCTTTACCTATCCTATCTGATCACTTCAACTTTTTTTAAAGTTTCCATTCATTTTGATGATAAAGGACAACATTGAGAGATGCTAGCATGCAGGTAACTACCTATCTAGCTTTAATGTAAATAGGTAATAATTTCCTTCAAAAGAATATTGGCTCTTCAATGTACTGGAGTTTTAGTAATTGAAGGCATCTCACTTCATTTTGAACATTACCTAGGTATAACTTCTCTAAGCTGCATGACAAATTTTCAATTTCCTTGTTGTAACACCAATACCACAAACATTCATCTGGGCACAAGGCTCACAACATCAAATTATTCATGTGTTATAGACAGGTACCTTATAGCAAAAAGGCAACAGAGATATGTGATTATTTTCAGCATATGCTTTGTGTTCAGTTGTGTATATAATAATTTTGTGGGTGGAAAATGTGTCATGAATTGTCTACAGGTCTGTGTAGAATTGTGAATGATATGATTATAGAAAAAGGTAAATGGTCAGTTAAGTATTCAACATGTTTACTCAATATCAATATATGATGGCATGGAGTTTGCTAATGAGTTTGCTCAAAGGCCTTTCAGTTAGTGTGGGAAGCAGCAATTTGAAGCACAAGCTTATAAAACTAATTTGTAATGGGGTTTGTGAAGTTCTCCATATATTTCACACAGAGCAATGTACCAGTACCTAATGCATTGCATTATTTTAAAATGAGGGAGACCATACTAAGTTGCCAGGTAGGCTTTGACATTGATTTCAAGATAAGACATGTAGGTGCTTTTTGCTTATAACTTGTCCTCATTCTCTGACTAAAGGAGTGGCAATACAATCTGAGTTGTTCTATTTTCCTCTTGCCTTGCCATTTTTGACATAATCCTTGCCCAGGCTATATGTAGTCATGATGAAGGTCAATCAGATGACATATTTCAAATATCACAGTCATAATTTCAGTTGAATTTGCCTAACTTTATTTAAACAATATAAGATTAGACATTGCATAGCTATAACAGGATATTTGAGCCACCACTGGCATAGAAATTAATAGATTACAAAACATTACTCAGCAAAACAGTTATCAGTCATTGAGAGTGGAGGAAACACATCTAGACTTGACAACAAATTCTACCATTCATGTTGGCATAAGTAATAATTCAAATGGATACTTAGTGCATTTTTCTTAAGATTTTAAGCACTACATGAGATCCATCCAAAGGCACAGACCCAGAACAAAGGCTGTGTTATGAACAAGGACAATGCACCTTTTTTGGTATTTTAACATGTTGCTATATTCCGACATCCGAAGAAAAATAATATGGCCATCTGCCCTGCTTCATTTGATACGTATCGATGAGAAATTGGATGTTGCGGGAATGCTGTTAGCTTTCAGGCAGTTGTCTCCAGCAGCGACAAAATGGCCGCTTACTTTCTGTCAAACATTTGCTTTCATATGGCTAAGTACATTAATTTCACTCAATCTAACTTTGTCTAGCAAATCTCCAGTTTTACTTCGGAAAAACCGGCAGCGTGTTCCACATTGGTGTCCCCGCCAGGCGAGGCATTTCCGTCGGCCGTCGATGTCCTTCGGTCATATAACCCCTAATAAAACTAGCGCGTCGAACGATCGGCAGCATGGATGGTCTCACACCATCCATGGCAGGGACCGACCTCACAGATCCGCGCAGAAAACAGCAATATCGGATTTATCTGCCTCTAAACTGTAATGTATGAATGCGTCGTGAAAATTTTACATGACAGCTGAGGTTTGCTAAATAAAAAAATTATACCAGGATCTGTATTAGCGAAGAGATTAGCGATGCACGTGAAATGTGTATACATTGCACTATATATGTAGTCAGCGATGGATTATAAAAGGATGCTTCTTAAAGCCTACAGTCAAAACGTTTTCTGAAAGTTTGTGGTCCTTCTCAATATGATAGGTATTCCATCGCAATTTAATGGGCTTCGTTCCATTAGCAAATATTGCAAAATCGTCCTCAAATGTTTTCTTACCTAAATGAAGTAATGTTGATCCAGGAAAAAACTTGTTACACACTCCTTAAAGTTTCAGATCCCAAAACAGAAACACTGATGTGCACCGCACACTGCAGCGTTAGGTCACTTCACCTTCAGCCCGCCAAGTAGTAACTGCCCCACTAAACGGGAGAGGGACGCTATGGGACGGCAGATGGACGCCCGTCTGGTCCATGTGGAACTGAACCCTCATTGGATGAGAGGAATTAATTGGGCGTCCCTATGGTTTTATTAGGGTAGTTCTTGACTTTCCAAGTGTTTCCAGACACAGTCAACAACTAGACCGCCTCACTCTAGTCTATTTATACACCACCAGTATGCATTTCAGGTGGAGGTGTACCAAGCCCTGCCTCGCACTTTGCCCAAAGCAGTGCATAACCGTATGTCTGTCGGCTTCTTAAAAAATGACGATATATCTGCGGATAGCTTCAGAAAGAAACACACTTCAGAAATAGCGTTTACGTCCTGTAAATATGAATAACTCTAATGTAATATAACCAGCTTCACTTGAAAGCATAGATATGCTTGGATATACCTAAAGATGATCGGTGAGACAAACCGGAGCCATCGGAGACCGTGTAGGAGACAGGCTGGGCTTTTTGTGCACCTCTGTGTTCGAGGTGGATTTATTTTTTAGTGTTGTATGGCTCAAGAAACAGGCACTTGCATGGCTACTGCTGTTGCTATGCTGCCAGATATTGCGTTACGACGCGCAGATAACAGTCAACTGATACTGATGCTTCGCTTTTTTACTTTACTTGCATTGCAGTTGTGTGACATGATAAAGGATCGCTGAAACAGATACACTTTTAAATTTGCATGATGCAGAGATGAAGCGAAATCCGCCCTGTTGTCCCTCCTCGTCGTTATTTGACTATCAGCCGTCACTCACTCAAAATCCCATGGATGACGGTCTTAGGCAGCCTGATTTATTCGGTGACTTCAATTCATTACATACTCGAGTGATGTTGCTCGTTTGTTTTCTTTATCTGGTTTATAATTTATCCATGTTTCAGTTGAAACTGTTCGATTGTATTTCCCAGTGTTTTGAAAATGCCATTACCACACAGCCAGTCCCTGACCCTACAAATAGGTCAGCCCCGGCCAAACAATATCACGTAGCCGCGTTTCCGGGTTTCGCAATGGGTGTCATTTCCTCTAGAACAGCAGACCACTAAAGAAACACGCTATTTCGGCAGACATCCTTACAGCGCTGCAGACATTTTACTAGAAAACGAGCTCAGTTCTCGAGCTACCTTAGCTCTCCATGTCGTATCAACTTGAATCTTTGTCTCATCCGTTTGTGATGTCTGGTGTTGTTTAGCCAGGTCAGTTGCAAAAAAGCAATGGCACCCATTGCTATGTGGACGATCAAGCGAAACCACTTACGATGTAAATATGTTGATTTCCTTACCACATTCTTGACATGTGGACCACATTGTTGACATTCTTGGCCTGACTGGTGATGCTTTTGTGTTCGAGAGTTCGTGCTTGCTTTTGTACTATGTTGGTTTCGTGAATCCATAAAACAGTTCGTAGGTCGATATAAAACCCTTTGAAGTTTGAACATTGCTCAATGCCAATACAACAAACAACAGACCTTGCTTTGTCATGCATTTACGACCATTATCCAACACTCCCCCGTCTCCCACCCTTCTGTCTACTCAACCTTCCTTTAATCCACAGCAAACATTAATTAATCAGCTCATCTCAATTATGGTAGCCCCATTGTTACACACTGGTCGTCACACGTTTTTAGCCGTTTTCACGACGGCTATTTGGTACACATTGGTTCATATTTGGTGCAGATTTGGTGCAGCTTTGGTCAAATTAGGTTCATGGTGTTTCAAAAAGTTATCAGTATGGGTCGCACAGTTTATTATTTGCCTGTTTTTTTTTCTTCAAATAATCAGACAATATTTTCTTTCTTTACAATGAAATGAATTCGTAATATAAAGATATTTGCTGTAAAAGAGTGTGGCGCGGCGCGTTATTATTTAGCTGCGGCGTGTCCGTCCAGCACGGCCGCCCTTTGCGCCGCCAATCGCCGCCTCTCGCAGTGTTTATGTTATTTTTCATGAACGTTTGTTTTCCTGCTTTGTATTATTGTAAATTCGTTATTATCGTCACTTCTGTTTTATAGTTTTCAACCGTATTTAACCCACGAGCCGCTGCACGGTCTTGCCGAATACCAGATTAGCGCGAATTTAATCAAAAACCCGACTTTCGATAAACTGTTATTTATACCTATCAATGGGTAGGAAATTGTCTGAAGTTATCGGATACAACCTTATTTTTAAGCCACTTAACCATTTGAGGGCTTATATCCCTGCCGAAAGTAGACCCACGCTCCGGTTCCTGAAATCGGGCTATGGTACTGAGAAATATGTCCAGTTTTCAATGTAAATTTTACGGAAGTTTCGAGAAGATATAGGAGAAAATAGCATATCACCGGATAGCACAATTCATGATTAAGCTGTTTCTGCTATCATGGTAGCTTTTCAATTAATGGTTTTTGAGTTTAATGAGTTAGAACAGGAGCCTCGCATGTGTATCGTTCTCACGATAGTATTTCATAAAGAAGTTGAAAAATGTCAAAATGGATAAAAATGGATATGACGAATAGGGCATGGCTGAACTCTCCGCACCTTTATGGACATAAGCGAGCAAGTTTCGGCTGCCACTTTTTGCCTATTTGCCGTCAATTCAGCTTTGAACATGTCTAATCGGCCGCCCGGCGTGACCTGACCAAGGTCGGGGGCGGCGCGGCCGGACAGGTTCCAGCCTAATAAACTATCTCAAGCACACGAAATCGTGATTTCATGCACTCATTGCAAGGTCCGATGCTTCACTTTTGCATTGTTGGCCTTACGTGACGTCATTTATGACGTCACTAGGGTAATAAGAGTTTTTCTTCAATAACTCTCGATTAAATTGAGCTAGCGAGTCGGGAAAGCCACCAATGGACTCAGGAAGACCTGCCGAATCGAATGATATGCAACACGACCTCCTTCGACCAACTTCATGATCTGGAGGGCTCTGACCTGACCTTGACCCGAGGTCAACACCTAAAGTTGACTTCAGCCGAACAAAAAGTATACCATTCGACGCAGCTGAGCGAGGCAAACACGATGATGCCAAAATTGCGGCTCTGCGGCATTTTTTCGCGAAGTTATTAATAAAAAAACGAATCCGTGCCATGGCCACTTGACCTGACCTACGAGGTCACAGGTTAACCTGAGACCTTAAAATTGGATACCAGTCACTGCGTCTCGTAACGGCGCACACGCTCGTTTTTTCCGCGAGGCTCTAGCTCCATCAGGGGCGAAACAGCGACGGGGGTCCTACCAACCCCCCCCCCCTCGGCCGGCGCGTATTTTGAAAACCAATAGGTCCTGCGAGGGGTAAGTGCCAGTTTTGGAATCAGAGAACCATTTTCAGTGGATCCGAGCGGCGCTGGGATTAAATTCGCGCTAAACTGGTGTTCGGCAACACTGTGCGCTGGGGGGGGGCATAAAGTTGCCCCCCCCCTTTACGTTTTGTGAAATATCTCCGAAACCTAATGAGCTACGAACGTGAAACTTGGCATAGCTTCAAATGAATACCTAGGCAATGTTTGAGGAAAGTTTGGTGGTTGTAGCACCTAAGATGACGTCACAGTGACGTCATAAAGTTTTGTCGTTTTCCGATATGGACCGTTTCTGATGACGCTGAGCATGAAACTCAACTGTAAATGAACTAGATAGCACCTGCTGTCATCCTAAAACATCTAACTACACTTCCATCTAGTTTCTGACCAATAATCGACCCTTTATATTCGGTCCCATATATCTGATGTATCGTGAGGAATATGAGAGTCGCAAATCTATAATTTCACTTATGACGTCACTGTGACGTCATTTCAAAGGGGATCGACACCAAATTTGGACACAACCTCGGCTAGGTATTCAGGAAGGTGTGTGCAAAGTTTCGCTTCTCTATCTCTTCGCGTTGCGACGATAGCGTCGCAGAAGTAAAGGGGGGGCAACTATATGCCCCCCCCCCAGCGGCCGGCGGGTGGCGCGGAGGCCCAGCGGCCGCCGGGTTAATATCTGTCCTTGCTTTAATTTGTTGTAATTTCTAGATTGACTTTTCGCCGTTTCCATATGCTCGATTAGTTTTTGATTATGTAAAAAAGTGTTTTTATTTTTGGCTGTGTAGTTCCGCCCCCGTTGAGTTCCTGTTCGTTTTGATCTATATGGTTTTTGGCACGTGCTTTCAGTTAAGATATAAATTTAGTATCCGCACGCAGAGTGTCAGAGAGGCTGAGTATTTCGACGAGTTCCTAGTTTTATTTCTCACGTTTTTCTCCCAGTTTAACCCATATCTATGTAACCATCGTTTCGCTGTTTATTTTGTTCTTTCATTGTGGGTAATTTCCTTTCCTCCAAACACGCCCTATTTACCCTGAGACCCACAAGAGAATAGGTGCAGTTTTGGTAGAATGAGGTGCATTCCCCAAATGACCCGTCGTGAAAACGGCTATTCTCAACTCAGAATAGCCGTGTTCGGGTGTATGCCTGTCCAGAACAAGCACCGCACGCAGGTATCATGCAACTGCATTGGACGTGTCTTACCACATTAACCAACAGATCATCAGATTGTCAGTCTGGCTACAATCTTCTTACATAACCTGGCGTTGTGTCATGAGAAGCCGAAACTCGTTCCGCACGCAATATACGTGTTCTTGAATGGATGTTGCGTGTGCCGTTGTGGGAGTCCATGTTTAACCCTATTCCTGGCGGGGGGGCCTCAGGAGCCCCCCCTGAGGTTTTTTGGTTATTTCTCCCAAACGCGTTGAGCTAGGAAGCTCAAATTTTCTGACTTTTCCTAAAAGGCTTCTACGCAACATGTCTGAAAATTTTGAGTTGATCTGACCTCAGGTCAGGTCACCAGAGGCGGTTTGGTGACCCTACCTCAGAAAAGTTTGCAATCACGCCAGAGCTAGAGTTTTTGACCGATCAATTTCTTCTCTTCAGGGTTTAGTTAGGGTACCAGTATGTGCAATTTGTATATCTCGGAATTTTGATATCGGTGACCTAAGGTCAGGTCAATTTCGCGACCTCCCCATTATAAGTCAATGGGGGAAAAATCAACTCCCTGTTTTTACCACTAAAACGGGTCGGAATGGCCCCATATACCATACATGACTTCATATACGATCAACCTTCACTACCTTGAGGTCTGTTTTGCTGTTGGGCAGCTGTGAGGTCATGTGACGTCATCAAAGGTCACCAAAGGTTTTTGGCCAATAACTCTGTACAGGAACAAGATACAGACGCGTGGATGGTCTCATTGTGTTCAGCTCGTCGAGACGCATCGAATGATATACATGATGACCTCGAGGTCACGTGACCTGAGGTCAACCTTTGACCTTGACCTTTCGAGGTCAACATATATATCATTCGATGCGGATTGACGAGAGGATCACGATGATGCCCTTAGTTTGTTCCTATCTTGACTAATTCGAAAGTTATTCGAGAAAAACTCTCTCCATATCTAGCGCCGCCATTTTGACTTTTTCGACCCCTGTGACGTCATCTTTGACCTGACCTGAAAATGACCTTTGTAAAAATTGTAGATCTTGACCGTGCGTATCCGATGCCGCTTACCGCTTGTCGCTATCTTGCTTCGTTCTCGAGATCTCAGGGGGGGGGCCGAATCGGCCCCCCCCCCCGCCAGTTTCTTGTCCCGGCGGAGCCCGCCAGGAATAGGGTTAAAAGCTGATTGAAATGTTTCTTGTTTCAGGTGAGTTTGGGGTCAAGGCCAAAACATCTTGTCTGGTAGTCTTTTACATGGGATGACTCCGTGTAAAAAAGGTAAGCACTAACGTCTGTTCGTTCCCTAGTCCACTAACGGCAAAGACTAACTCAAACAAAAGTTGTCGGGAACAATCAAAAATCTGTATTTGTCATCATACATCAACATATCCGTTTGCCAGCGATCCGATCAAGATAAACACGCCAAGTCCCTCTCAGCATAATGTTGCATTTCATTTTTCACTGCTTTAGCTGCTCCAGCAGCAGTGTATTATTTCAAGACCGACACAGCGCCTCAATCAACTCGACGTTGTCTCGTCTAACCAAGATGCAAATGATCAGCTACTCTTAGACTACCCTGCGTAAGGCTGCTGCACCACAACCTGAGGCTCCGCGTAGATAGGAGATGTCTCCTGGTACACCTGCTGAGGCTCGGCATACACAGCTTGAGGCTCCGCATACACAGCTTGAGGCTCTGCATACACAGCTTGAGGCTCTGCATACACAGCTTGAGGCTGAACGTGCACAGGCTGGGGCTCCACGTACACAGTTTGCGGCTTAGGGTACTTCGTCACGTACACTGGCTCGTACGTTGCGGACACCACCGGAGGAGCAGTTCCTACTACGTAGTAGCTATCCACCGGCTTTTGCACTATGGAAGCCTTCACTGGAACGTACGTCTCGCGACGTTTCGTCTCGAGAACCAGCAATGGTGCCGGTTGGTGCACTTGGACCGGATATCCTACGCCTGTAGTGGCAACGCTACCTGAAAGACCCCCAAGACCTGCAAGACCTGCCAGACCGGCGGATCCAGCAGCGCCAGCCTTAGCAGCTCCTGCGGCCCCGGCGGCTCCGGCAGCCCCCTTCAGTCCTTTGGCTTTGATGCCGAGAAGACCGAGCAGAGCCAGCTTCTTGCCGATGAGGCGGCCCTCGCGTTCGTCGGAGACGACGACGACGCCACTCCGGTTGTCGTCGGCTAGCACGGCCAGCGTCATCTGTTGGGGAGAGAAGGGGGAGTAAGGCCAACGTCATTTGTGAGGGAAAGAAGGGGAGTAAGGCCAGAGTCATCTGTTGGGAAAGAGAAGGGAAATTAGGCCAGCGTCATTTGTTGGGGAAAGAAGGGGGAGTAATGCCAACGTCATTTGTTGGGGAAAGAAGGGGGAGTAATGACGTCATCTGTTAGGAAAGAAGGGGGAGTAAGGCCAACCTCATTCGTTATGGAAAAAAGAGGGAGTAAGGCCAGCGTCATCTGAAGACCAAAAGGGGGTATATGTTATGGTTAGATAGTGATGAACGCTTACGCATCCCTGTGAACTACACATAGTAGTCAAACGTCATCTAAGAGATTCCGCTACAATCATGTCTTCGGCGAGACGGCCAACGTCATCTGTAAATGAAAGATAAAGAGTTATAGCCAACATCATCTGTTGGGAAAAGAAGGGAATTAAAGCCAACGTAACATGTGGGGAAAACAGAGTCGGAGCGTTGGGCCAACGTCATTTGTGGGGGAAAACGGAGGAGGGAGCGTCGGGCCAACGTCATTTGTGTGAATGATATGGTCAGCTACGCGTGAACGCAGTGCTATTGGCTAAACATGTGCAGTCAAGCGTTACCTGTGGAATAGAGACGACGCTGTAGTTGACGGTGGCAAGGGCAGCGTCGTCATTTGAGGGGAAAGGAAATGTGAGCGATATTGTCAGCTAATAATGGCCATCGCTTTACAGGTGACGACACTAAACTCAAACGACAACTGTGAGGAAAAGAATGGAAAGTCATGGCCGAATGTTTGGAATCAAGTGCGAGTTTGGTTAGATGGGCATAAAGGCCTGGTTGTGGGCAGTCACTGACGAATTCGCTGGATGCAGTAAATTCTACAGGACATGAAACTACAGCGGTACAGCTACCATCTTTGAAACAGATACAGATAAGTCATCTTTGAAACAGATACTCCGCTGCATTCAGGAACTTGCTCATTCCTGCCTGAAGATTTCTGGGAAAGACGGTCTGGCACTGGCTCTGGCAGCGTTGCGAATTGATGAGATTTTTACCACGCAGAGGTTGAATAACGTCGACATGGGTCCAAGTGTCCTTCACTGATTTAAGAATGCACTAAGTGACAAGAAGCTTGATCATAGTTTCGATTCATAGCTTTCAGCTCTGTATGTAAGGCGTAATTTTGAAGAAAAATTGCAATGCGTGGCAACAATAGATTCCCCTCGGCCGGTGAAAAATCAGTTGATCTTAGATAGCTAAATGTCGTCAATCACAGCCATCACCCACATGAAAAAATATCAGCTAACAAATAAAGTCGTCTATTTCTGCTCTCAAACCCAGTACTTTACTTACCAATGCTGCACACAACACTAACGTCACCTTCATTCTGACCAACTCCAAACTCTCTCTATTCCAAATAACTCTGCGTCCTTCCTATCTTCCTTCTTCCTGTCGACTGGTCCGCGTTGCAGTTTACCCTCCTCCTTTATAGACAATGTGGCTTAGTTGTGCTCCCGTAAACATTGATGGTGGATTGATAACATGTCAGTCACGCGCCGTATAGCTAGTGATAATTGACAGATGCGTCAGATGTGTGGAGGATTTTGCAGAGCGCATCTTGAAGGAACCGGTTTGGATTGTGGGGATGGGTGACTGGGGGGAGATGAGAGAATGGGGTGGGGAAGAGGAGAGGAGAGGAGGGGAAGATTGGTGGAAAGGGGAGGGAGAGAGGGGTGAGAGAGAGAGAGAGAGAGAGAGAGAGAGAGAGAGAGAGGGAGAGAGGGAGGGAGACAGACAGACAGACAGACAGACAGACAGACAGACAGACAGACAGACAGACAGACAGAGAGAAGAGGCTAGGAGAGGAGATAACAGGTCAGGAAATAACTACTTGAACAACTGAAATGTGTGGACTGGTGCAATGCATCAAGCGATCCCCTGGAGACGTTTCGGAGCTGCCAATTCGTTTGCAGGGGATAAACAGGGAAAGAGAAGGGAATGGAAGAGCAATTCGCTGGTATGTGAGTGAAAATGATGAACATGTGTGACACAAGTTATTGTTGTGTTGTGCGACGCGATGTTGCGATGACAATGAGGGGCGGGGGGGGGCATATTTACCTTAGGGCCGGGGCGGAAAATTAGGGGTTTGGGGGGCGTGCCTATATATCCCGCGCGGGGCTGGGGGGGGGTAAATTTTACCCCCCCTCGCGAATTTTTGCGATATCTCAAAAACGGCGGCGCGCAGCGCCGCCAAACTTTCAGTACCTTTTCTTACATCAATTTGACACGTTCCCTGAAAATTTGAGCGGAATCCGTCGGAAAATTTTTGAGAAATTGACGTTTTAGTGACGTCATGTTCGTCATTTTCGCCTCAAAAACAGCAAAAGTTCAAACGCCGCTAACATCTTCATTTTTAAAGGAATCAAGACGTAACAAAAAAGGTTATACGTAATTTTACTTTGTCTATCAAATGGCTATCTCGGTTTTTTGAAAATTTTGGATTTTGGCCTAATTTTTTTCAAAAAACTGACTTTTTTGGGAAAATCATTATAAAATCCAAAATTTTGAGTCTATCGAAAAAACCGGAATATATGTCAGAGAAGTGGTCTATGTGCACCTACATACCAAATTTTAGAAGAATCGGTTCAAAAATGTGGGAGTTATTCAAAATTTTATGACGTCACGACACACAAAATTTTTGAAAAATGACTTTTTTGGAAGTTCTAGACCTCGTACGGAAACAAAAATAGCACCATTCGATTCGCCGTGAAAAACTGCATCAGATAGACACCTTTTTATGCCTTAACAACCAACTTCAAAATTTGACCTCACTTGACCTGACCTTGACCTGACCTCGACCTGAAATTCATCCAGAGGTGGTCCATATCACTTATTGAGTGTGCCTATTGAATTCTATGAGTAAAATGACCCATAAAACATGTGTCGCACATGCCCTTTTCTATATTTTGTTTTTTGGTGACCTGACCTGACCTGACCTTGACCTTGACCTCTGAATGATATTGTATGCAACGAATATTGTCTTGGTAGCCTAAGAACACGTTTTGGGCGATCAGTCTCAGTCCATGACTCCATTCTTCGGCAACTACGGTGCAAGGCCGATACTGTAGAAACTTGCAATTTGTACCCTTGACCTGACCTTGACCTTGACCTCAAACTTTAAATTAAGTACATGTTTTTAGTAGTTCGTGATGAGAGCTTTCGATTGGCGTTTGAATTTTCCAAATCGGACCGTTAGTTCGGGAGATAACAGGGGGGGTAAAATTTACCCCCCCCCCAGCCCCGCGCGTTCGGCTGGAGACCCCAGCCCCGCGCGGGATATGCTTTACAACGCAAAAATTTAACGCTTCCATTCGTCAGGTGCTGGAAAGGCACCCCTTGGGATTATGACAATGCTCCGCCCCCTGTTTGCCTTGATATTTCGAACCGATCCAGGTTATCATTCAGACTAGCTTTTCAGTGAAAAACAAAACACAAATACTAATTGTTCCCAACGTCATAATGTATTCAGCATCGGTATCCTTACCCTCACACATCAGACAATGGACACACGATGTTACAATGACTTCTAACTATCATAGATGCTGTGTCGCTTGACATCACATGAAACAATGACACGCATCGAATAAAACAACAGTAATTGATCTTTGGAACAGGGACACACAAATATAAACGGCTGAAGCATGACAAAGCAGACGAACACGAAAAGTTAGATATGAAAATCGTACAATGTTGAGCGAAGTAGAACAATGATGATGAATATTTCTGAGTAAATTGGCACATTTATCGTGCATCAATTAGATTTTGATTGATGATGAAATGTGTTTTAATGATTCAACGAGTACCCACTCAGTTTAGCTTTGTAATTTTGAGAAGCACCTATTAGCACAAAAAGCGAATGTCTACTACTGTTTGTTAACTGCATTTAATACTTCCCATATGAGTGCTGCGGCGCATAATAGTCGCCATGAGAGGGCTGATCCGCGTAATAATCAGTACCGTGGTAATGGTGGTGAGTTTCTCCGGCGGGTACCTTTACATGGATAGGCAGGACAACAGTGTCCGCCGAATCCTGGTAATACTGGGGCTGGGACTGCTGGACGTAAACTACGCCACTGCCTCCCTTCGAAATCACGCCACCGCTGTGGACAAGGCCGCCAGTGTGGACAAGGCCTCCGGTGTTGATAACGCCTCCAGTGTGGATGGTGCGAACTCCGGTAACTCCGCTAACTCCGCTAAGTCCGCTAACTCCAGCGACTCCTCCGAGTCCTGCTAGACCCCCGAGTCCCTTGAGTCCGGCGGTTCCGGCCAGTCCGGCGGTTCCGGCCAGTCCTCCAAGTCCCTTGAGTCCGGCGGCTCCGGCCAGGCCGCCCAGTCCGACCACGGCTCCTTTCTTGACGATGGCAGCCTTGGCGAAGCCGGCCTTGGCGCCCACTCCCTTGGCGATTACCAGCGGCGCGCCCGCCACAAGAGCCTTCTTCTTGAGGAGGAGGAGGAGCAGCCTTCCGCGGCGATCTCCAGTGTCGGTTTCAGGCTCGGTGTCAGTGACCTCAGGCTGAGTCTTGGGATCGGCTGCGCTGGCCGCCATAGCCATCTGAGAAAAGAACAGCGAAGGTAGTAAGTTAATGCACTCGCTAGCTCATGATGTAAAGAAAACTCGACAACTGGCGTGGCTCTAATGAATACGCCAAAATGAACGTGAGAAGGATTACATTGGGATGCTTTGGATTGCTGCGAAACGCCTAAGATTGAACGGCTAAGTTTTCACAAATGATGCAGTTGGCTGTTAGATACATTTTTCCACTTTCTTGTCAAGTGGATATTACATATAAAGATAGCATCCTGTTTGATCTACTCCAACTACAATTCCGCTACCACAGCTTGCAAGCAGATCGTGTCTTTATCTATAGCTGTCATCTGGGATTACTACTTATATGTACAACTCGGGATAGCTCACTCACCAGTGCCACCACAAGGAGTCCAAAGCAAGCCTTCATGTTGCTCTCACAATTCAGTTGACTTGTGCACTGTAAACGCTCACAAAGCTGAGTGTGAAGTGTGCGGAGACTCTTTCGAGTTTTATACTGGACCTCATGCCTGAAGCCGGGATAAACCATGAAACCAGACTGATAAACTGAACGAAACTGTAGAAATACTGAGGGAGTTTCTCAACAACTAGTCCTATGGAGTCGTGTTTCGTTGCTAAAGCACGTTTGATCTAGACTGGTCGCATGTCGCTATTGCAAGTGTGATAAATTGCAACAGAGGACATGGGATCGCAAGCTGGCGAACTGGTGAGATAATCCTCACGATTTTGTGAAGTATAGAAACACGAGTGTGAACTAGGTACAAAGTGACAAAGTGTCATTTCACGATGCACGGAGAGAATATAGAGTAAAGCATAGAGAGAATGCCTACAAGTGAAGGAAGCTGCCTAAGGATTCCATTGAAGTTATCTGATACCAGAATACTGCATTCGTAATTGAAGGTGCCAAACACCTAAACCAATCACGTAACCTGAGGTACGAAATGTTGGACGCATAGTTTCCTATATTTAGGTATAACGAAAGGAAATGTTCCGCTTGTGCAGATTCCAAGGCAAGATCCGAAACTAGTCCAGACGACCTATTTTGTGTTACATGTCAGTACAAGTTACTGTATACGGAGCCTGATGACAAGATGCCATGAAAATAGAATGAGAAACAGAAGAACATACATCATGGACGAAAAGGTTTAGATAGTAACCTAGATTAGAGGCTTGGCGCCATATCTATGTCTCAGTTCACAGATGCAGACTCCCCTCCTCCCCTTAAAAAAAAAAAACTATGCGGGGATGGCACCCTTTCGTGCAGGTGATGGCTAAGGAGAAGGCTTACTTTGGTCTTTCAGCTGTTGCATATGCTTAAAATCACCTTAAATGGGTCAAGTTCTAACCCTTAGGGGGTTGCCTATCACTGCCTATCAATGCTGTTGATGCATGTCTAGACGGACGCAGGGTCTTTCACTCTGCTGAGCAGATAACGTCAAGCGATTTCCTTATCCCACCATCTCAAACTCAAATTATGAGTTCCGAAACAAAAGTGCTGCAAATCCACGTTGCAGCCAGCTACAGAACAAATTATAATGACCATGTATTCATTCAACAACAGTGCACATGAACATGTTTACATTGTGCGTAACACATTAACAAAAATTAGTTGAGTATGAGTTTCAGATGTTCTAAGTCAGGTTCTGTGAAGTGGGTACCGCACATAGAATCCAAACTCTTGATACAGACGTTGTTCGAACAGTAAGACCCAAAGCTTGTACAAACAACACACATCTCAACCGAACCCTCAAGAAAGAAAGGAGTTGAGCGCTGCTGAATCCAGCTAAAAAGAACATCATGGCAACATAACACTCAAGCAGCTATTCAAGACCGTTTCCTCAGGAGTCTTGCGCTGCTGAAGCTATAAATAACTGCAGAGAACAAAAACAACAGCATGACACTCACGTCACGATTCAAGACAGCATCCGCTACGTTGTTGAAGAAAACTGCAGCGACCAAGAACAACATGACACTTGAGAGCAAGTCTGTGCAACTTAGTCTATCTAGTCAAGCTACAGCGAATGGAAGACACTGGCACGACACTTGAGAGACCCTTCAACGTTTCATCAACGTTTCTCTACTACCTAGCTATAGGGTACCGGTACAACAGGCTGGGTTTCAGGATAGAAGGGCTCTGGGGATGGCTGTGGGTGATAGGGCTCCGGCGTAGGTTGGGGATATACCGGCGGAGGCGTTGGCTGGGGGTAAGCCGGTTGCGGTTGAGGCTGGGGGTAAATTGGTTGCGGTTGTGGATGGTAGGGCTCCGGCGTTGGCTGGGGGTACACTGGTTGAGGCTGGGGGTAAGCTGGCGGAGGAGTTGGCTTGGGGTAAACTGGTGCAGGTGTTGGCTTGGGGTAAACCGGTGCAGGCGTTGGCTTGGGGTAAACCGGTGCAGGTGTTGGCTTGGGGTAAACCGGTGCAGGCGTTGGCTTGGGGTATACCGGTTGAGGCTCGGGGTACACCGGCTGAGGCTCGGGGTAAACTGGTTCTGGCTGTGGATACACTCGCACAGGCTGTGGCTGTACAACATGAACAGGCTCTGGCTTGGGGTAAACTGGCTGTGGCTGGACGATCACATGTTGTGGCTGTGGCTGAACAATCACCGGCTGTTGCTGTGGCTGGATGTACACATGTTCTTGCTGTGGCTGGACGTACACTTGCTCTGGCTGTGGCTGGATGTACACATGCTCTGGCTGCTGCTGTACATAAACATGTTCTGGTTGCTGCTGTACATAAACAGGCTCTTGCTGTTGCTGTGGCTCTACATACACATGCTCTTGCTGTTGCTGTGGCTGGACGTACACATGCTCTTGCTCTTGCTGTTGCTGTACATACACAGGCTGTGGCTCCGGCTGTTGCTGTACATACACCGGCTCCGTTTGTTGATAAACCGGCTCCCGCTCCACCTGTGCCATGATCACTATCGGCTCTGCCACCGTCACAATTGGCTTGGTGATTTGATGCACCACTCCTACACCACTGGCGCCGGCTACCCCAGCTGCACCAGCTGCGCCAGCTGCACCAGCTGCACCAGCTGCACCAGCTGCTCCGGCGGCACCAGCTGCACCAGCAACCCCGGCAACCCCCGCGGCATGTGCCTTGCCTCCGAGTCCTATAAATTTGGCGAAGAGAATCTTCTTGCCTAGGAGGAGGAAGCGCCCTCGACGATCTCCGGGAATGGGCTCGGGCTGGTTTTCATCTTCTGTTGCTGTTACCGCCTGGGGGCATAGAGGGTGGAAAGGTTATACGGGGTTTGGAATTGAGGGTAGAAATTACAACGGACCTGCAGCCTAATGTTAGCGTATCAAAGTGCATTTTGACATGTCCTTAGGAGCTGACTTCGTAAGATGATAGGGCTCACAAAGGCCATGAATATTGCCATAGACTAATGTACATATTGCGAGTAGTCATGTAGTATATGATATTGAGTAGTTTATGACATTGCACAATGTAATTCAGGGTTTAGTGGCATAGTACCTATAGGTTATCCAGATTTTGTAATGGGACTGCAAAAACGCCCATGCAACCCACGTGAGAGGGCTATTTATGTGTCATAATATTCACTAATATAATTATTTGGCATGTATTCTACTGAACATATTTACGTTTCATTGCACTTATTTTCTTGCTAGGTATTGTAAGGCGTCACTTAACAAACCCATATTTATATCTCTCTCATTATCTCTCCTAATTTATCTAACTCCTTTATCATTTGCACCTACCGTTACACATGCACAAAGAAGTAATAGTGAGAGCTTCATTCTGGCTGCTGCGCACACCACTCTCTATTGTACTCTGTTCTCTACCTCGCTTCGTTTCTCTTTTATACGAGATCGTAACAGGCGATAGAACTCACGTAAAGGCTCGTTTTGTGGCTAGCATAATGCTGGAGTTCATTGCCCTCTGTTCTACTCAACCTGTTTTGAGTGAGAGACTGCCCAGGAGCTCGGCATAATCCTCGCAAACTTGCGCAAGGGAGGTTGGAAGTGCGTGTAATTATAAGCGAAGGATGAAAAACTGCTAAAGGTGGATTAGCTTCTGTTGACCAAACGAGAATCCCTTTCAGTTGCCAGTGTCCAGAGTTGCCATTTGCCAATAATTGTTAACGTTTGCAGCATCATTGAAGTCGTAAACATTTCAAAGGAGTCCTTTCGAATGTCAAAGGAGCCATACTGACAATGAGGAAGATCGCATTAACTACCGTCTTATTCACTGTCGAAGGAATCCTCTCCACTTTTAGAAGACTTGTGCCTAGAAGAGTTCATAATCGCTGTCAGAGAAATCGTGTCCATTGTCACCCCTGAAAGTCGTTTTATCTCAGCTTTTAGAGCTCCGGAGGCTGCAGGTCTCTCCGATTGGTGTGAGAAAAATCCCTATTGGGATGGAGATGAAAGTTTCCGCTGTTGCTTATGGCTAGCCTGAGCTCATCAATGCATACGAATTGTTATAACTCAATTCAATTCCACATAAGAGACATAAGCACTGACATGTTGTCGCCAGAAATTGTTATGCACGGAATGCGTCATGAGAGTAAATTATACCAAATGCATTGCACCGCGCTTCGTGATCTTTTATAAAGAAACTATGTGTATTTTTGCGGTGAGCCAATTGAGATTAGTGATGCTTGAAAACATCTAGAAACTTCGTAATGCTGAGCAAGAGAATCCAGAAAAAAAGAGCACTCTAAAGCTATTGAAACGCAAAAGGACGAGATATGCCAAGGTGTGAAAGTGAAATTAACAAGGATAATCGTGAAACGAATAATCGTGTCATCTATCCTACTGTCCTACCGCTGTACTTCGAATGCTACTAATCCCCAGTTAAACTGGTCATTGATGGATGAGAAGGAAAGGGAAACGCTCACACGTTAAACGTTTTACCACACTTGGGCAAGATCTTTCTGCGCTAATTGTCGTGACCATATCTTACCCTCTGAGGTTTCTCTAACGCTAAATGCGCCTTAACCCGCGCCCCACTGGGGTCTGTGTATAACACGCCCTACTGGGGGGGGGGGGCTATTCATAGCCCCCCCTCCTAACTCCGAAACTACTGGGCCGATCGTCAAAATTCAAACGGCGTCTGATAGCCCCGGAAAAACTGTCGAGCGAAACCTAATTTCATTGACCTCGAGGTCACCGATGACGTCACAGGTCAGGTCAAAGTAAAAATTATTAGCAGTTTGACTTGTTCACATTTTGGGCTCTGGCCGCCGTCTTACAAGTCAGATCAGGCTCATTTTTTGTTTCCACACTCGTGAACAGATGCTCTAGATACCTTGCGGGTACCAAACTTGTACTTTGATTTTCAGGTCAGGGTCAGGTCATCACAGGTCACGAAAATATTATATCATGCGTCGGTCACGTGACACATATTTTATGGTCCATTTAGGCCATAGATTTCGAATTTGATGTCGTCTATGTCATTCGAGGTCATTTTGAGTCGAATTTAGCTTAGGTCAGGTCACTTTCAGGTCAAAAAAGGTCAAATTTTGAAGTTGAAATTTTTCAACAAAAAAGGTGTCTATTGGATGCAGTTTGAGCTCAGGAACACGATGGTGCCATTTATATTGGTGTACGATGCCAAATACGTACTGAAAAATTGATTTGAAAAATTAATAATTGTGAATTTTTTGCAATAATGCGTATAACTTGGCCATTTTTGAAGATATTTAGCTAAAACTTGCTAGAGTTAGTTATAATCATGCGTTCTGTCACATATATTCCGGTTTTTTCGAAAAGTCAAAAACTTTTTGAAAAAATATAAAAATATAAATTTTAAATATTATTATATAAAATTTTCGAAATTTTCAAAATTTTGAAAATCCGAGATAGCAGTTTGATAGCGCGGTCAATTCTGAGTTCTTTCATGCAAAGAAATTGGATCTAGCTTAAAAACTGAGCTCTTGGGAGCGATTGCCGTGGTTCAATGTTTTGCGTCGAAATCGGACGAACATGACGTCACTCTGACGTCATTTCCGGCCGACCTATGGTAGCTACGAAGTTCAAATTTTGACACAAGGTGTCAAATTGATGCAGCCGAAGGTACTGAAAGTTTGGCGTCGATCCGTCAAGCGGTTTGGAAGTTATTGCAGAAAAACGGGAGGGGGGGCTATAAATAGCCCCCCCCCCAGTGGGGCGCGGGTTAACCCTATTAGTGGCAGGCTCCTGGTTAAATGAGTGTTAGGGTAGACCGGGGCAAGTCGCCCCGCCGAGGTAAAACGCCTCACCGATGTTTCTCGGAACTGGCAAGGTTCTGGGGAAACATCCTCTCTTCTATAAAACGTGCACTATATGATCATTATATGAGCAAACTGAAAAGAAATTGTGATAACTCTTTAGGGAGATAAAACCAAAAATTTGTTTTTGGAGTGATTTTTATGTTTTGTAGTCAGATTATGCATCATGGCGTTCTTTTATGGTCCACATCAGGTTAACGACTTTTATGTATTTTGAACAACTAGTGTCTAACACTTATAACTAGATGCCGGCAGCGCTCTTGCGTTGCCTTGGGCCAGAATTGGAGGAACGGTACTGAGGGCACACACCGGGCCAAACCACCGAAACCCAGACTGAGCTTGGACTGAACCAGAGTATATAGAACACCGGGTACAGTCAGAGTTTGGGATATGGTAGCAGTCAAATGTCGACAGAAATGGCGAACAAGTTACAAATAGAGGTAGGTTTATTCCACTGTTATACTTCATCTTGAAAACTGTTGGCACACATGACGTCATAGAGTAAAAAGTCCCCATCTAAGGTCGTTAAGACGAATTTTTGACATTATTAAATAACAAAATTATATTGTGTTACCCGTTTTTTCTTATGTTGTCCCAACAATCATTTTTTATTATCTCTATTGGCCAATTATTTGTTGATTACGTCATCTGGGACCGCGAGTCGGCGAATGCAGTCGGTCGGAAAAAAACACGTGTTTTCGGCGGCCGAGGTAAACAAAATACAGTATAGGTAGCTTTGGGTGATATGCTATTTCTGTTATTGAAATCGCGTCTCCTGCCGTCAGTACTTTTTTCGTCGCAGTGATTTTCACTTTTAGAATTTTCTTCAATAATTGTGGTATTCAGTTCTGCCTCTGATTTGCAATGGCAATTATTATTTGAAGTGAAGAAGGCCTTGTTATGGCCCTGCACAACCTCGCTGAAAAGTGAAACTGAAACGGCTGGAATAACAGTATTGCAACTGGTTTCAAATTATTCTTCAAATTTCCTCGAAGTCAGGCTTAGACCTATGAATAACATCAGATTTGCAAGCATGTTCAAACTGCTCTGTTAATCTCCAGAACATCAGGCTCTCTTCTGACGCTTACAATGCCTGCGGCTGCAACATTATATTGCTAATAATGGCAGTTCAGCAAGATGTATGTGCAGGCAGAGGCACTTAGCCAATGCACAATGCAGTGCAGATTAATTGTGGTGTGAATTTTGTGTGGATCAGTGCACAATGCGTGCAATGATCTGGTAAATGCCATGCCGAACGGCTGTGCTGTGATATGAGCTGACACTGTTGAAGTGTTGATGCAATGCTATCTAAGAAATTTTCAGAAGGCAAATGAGACATCATTGAATATTGCTGTAGTTTCCATATAAGTGCAGAGTTTCCAAGCTTGCAGCCTTTTTTCGTGTGATTGTGCACATTTCCAGCCTATGTGCGTGCTAGTGCGGAATACTTAGTTGCTAGATTGGCTGGCACAGCTTGTCAAGTGTCAACTCTGTGGTAAATGTGAAGATGAAGTCCAGTGAAGATTTTGAACATCTAACCTGACCTAACCTTACCTTCTAACTCAAAGCTTTCAACCTACCAATATACTACCTACGAATCCACCAGCCTAAAACCTACAACCTAACTCCTACAACCTACCAAACTCAAGTCTACAATCTGGACTTCATCTACACATATATCAACTCTATTGCCTGATAATCTTTTCTTGTTTCACACAATCTTATGGTCTGATGTCTTTCTGAAGCAATAGTCAAAGTATGTGATAAGTTAAGTAATTTTGCACAAATGGAGATAAATAAATTTATGTATATGAGTGTTTTTGAGTTAAGTTGTGTTTCAGTGGTGATAAATGGAATGCTGTCATCATCACATTGCATTGCCACCATGATCAAAGGCTGATGGAGACAGAAGTATTGACGATTGAGATGAGCCATCCATTTGTGTTTTAACCAATGCATTACCTTAGGGAAAAGTGATCAAAAGTTGTTGAGTGAAGGGGAATATGGAGAAGAGCATTTATTGTTTGTTTTTGGGAAGAATAAAATCACTTAAACTTATGAACAAGAAGTGATCATGCATTGTATTATGAGCCCAAATCAAACAGGATTCTCTCATGACCATACTAAATGCACAACCCTTAGCTGTTTGTGCACAGTGGAACCCGCTTAACCCTCGCCGGACTTATTGGTTTTCTACATACGCGCCGGCCGGGGGCCGGGGGGGGGGGGGGGGGTACGACCCCATCTCGCCGTTTCGCCCCTAATGGAGCTAGAACGTCGCAGAAAAGACGAGCGTGTGTGTCGTTACGAGATGCAGCGCTTTGTACCCGATTTTAAGGTCTCAGGTCAACCGGTGACATCTGAGGTCAGGTTAAGTGGCCCAAGGTACGGGTTCGGTTTTGGCGAATAACTTCGCAAAAAAATGATTGCAGGGCCGTGATTTTGACAGCATCGTATTCGCCCTGCTCAGGCGCGTCGAATGGTATTCTTTTTTATTTGGGTGAGGCCAACTTTGGGTGTTGACCTCGGGTCACGGTGAGGTC